CGTATGGAGGAAATACCACGAAATTAACAATAACTGAATACATTTTTAGATGTTTAGATTCTTTCATTATTTGCTATCGTGCTTTTCTTGCGCTTCGAGTATTTCAGTCTAACGGATAGTAAAATCGACGAAAACCAATAAAATAAACGAATTCTTCTTTTGCTCATTATTTGACAATATTTCATTCATTATAACAAGTCCGGAGAGGTTTTTATTTTCTTTTAGTACATATCTTATCTGTGATAAAATATTAGTTAATACGAATTGTAGTTAGAACAGGGTGAATATATTAAATAAATATGCGTTATAATTCTGCGTGATCCAACTTTACATTTAGCAAATACTTTCGCAGGCGTGCATTCTCCACATTACTTAATCATTATAACGGTTGTCAATTTTAAAACGTCCCACCCTTATATTACATTGCATCGAATAATTATTTTAGAAGAAATATGTTATTTTTGGAACGCTAGAACCGATAGTCTGAGGATTTTGATGCTCATGGTAAATTTACAAATGCACGAGTCCAAACTAACGATGTTTACGAAAATTGGAGGTTGCGTTCAACACAAGGAAAATGTTGGCTGAATCAAAGCAAAAGATATATTTTACGTGAAAGTTAGAATTCCTAAGTTGCCAGGTGTTCATAAACTCCTCCTTGCTCACCTCCCATTCGCACTTTGAACACAGTACGGAACATTTAAATTTTAATCTCGATGAATCCTTTCAGGAATATAGTAAAAGAGGTTTTGGCATCTGCGTTGTTTTGAGATGTGATTGGAATTATACAGTTCACTAATCTTTCTGTTTGAAATATGAGGGTAGGTGAACATAATTATTTCGAAATTTTTAGGCAATTCTTATAAGAATCCTATTATAATTCCAAAGTTGCAGGAAATGAGCTCAAAAGTTCATAAAAAATTGTCAGGAATATTCGTGGTCAAAAAGTACGCGGCTTATACAGCCTGCATTGAACATTAAAAAATAAAAAACTGTCTCGTCATAAATCAAGCGATGAAACATAATCTATAGAACTAGATTTCTTTCAGAACATTTGCGTAGGGAGTTTTGTGAATTTCGCACCATTTTATGACATGAGAAACGTGAAAACTTTGTTAAATTGGTTGGAACAGAGTATAAAAGTTAATTGGGTTTCTAGCTTTATGGCATCGTTATGCTCGCCGGTAGTAAAATAAATACAAGGCCGACTTTTATTTAGATGAGAAAATAATTGAAAATTGAACTAGCATGTCACGAAAAATTGTGACTTTTTGGGTAATTTAATTAGTACCATACTGAAAATTTTATTTAGGTCATGTTAATCAAAACAATTTATTATTTAATATCGCTTATAACTGGCAACTCCAATTGTCTGTTAAGTTCTTTTAGATCATATTTTTTCATTAACAAAATAGTATAAATATGAAAATGAAATATCCGTCTCACAAAGTACATTCACAATTAAAAATATACACATCCTTCGAGTTTTTCCATATTTAAACCATTCCATTGAATAATCATGCTTCCTAGGTTGCCATTAAAAAAGTACCTGAGGCAGAATGAGTTTTAAATAAGGGATGAATGGTATTACCGAAAGTTCACCAGTCATTTTTGAAAAAATCGTACATTAACATTATACAGGGTGCCTAATACGTTGTGATAAAAAAAAAGTCGAGGTGAAAATAATACGATTTAGCTCATCTTGTCTTAGAAGAGGCAACTAAAGCAGAAAAACTGGGACTCAAGCATATTTTTTGAATGGTCTGTTTCAAACAACTCACGTCGAACTTGGAGTTTTTCGTTAAAATTATCACCAGAAAAAACTTAAGGCTATTTTAAAGTGGATTATAAGTGCTCTTCAAATCCTTGAATTTGGTATCTAATTTTGACTCCAAGTTGTTTGTGATATATTTGAAAAATACTTCCAAAAACGTTAGCATCGATAATTTTTTTCAGTTTCTACTAAAGTAAGTTATTTTCCTACATCCCATTATTTTTCATACTTATGGCACACGTTGTTTAAGTCGTTTGCCTAACAACTTTCTAAGTTTTCGGATTTATGTTTGATTTATATCGTTACTGATAAGCGTTCCCAAATTATGAAACGTTTGAAAGTCAATTGAAAAATGCATTTTCCTACAAAGCGAAATTTGACAAGCTCCATATCGTTGCAAATTCTCTGTACCTCGAACATATTTCGATATTCCGGGATTTCCGCAACTGGAAAACGAGGCCACAATCAATAACCGTTCTGTCTTCGACATGCAAAGCGAGCTTTATCTTTCTAGTTCGACGTACAATTATTGATGGTATAACAATCAGATACAGGTTCACTGGTGTGGAGCATTTTCAGGGAGTAACAACGGAGATCCCTTTACCCTTTATATAGTCGGGTGGGCTGACTAAAATAACGAGCGAACGTGACCACGGCTGCGATGCGTTCATGCGGTCGATTTCCTAATTTGGGAGTGAAGTTTCAAGTTTAAAAGTTGAACAAACATTTTGCGCAATTGCGAAATTAGTGAAAATAAACTCGTCCAGGCATTAATCATCAACGTGGCGTTGTGTTTGAGAAAAACCGCTGACAAAATTAACTTACTAAAATTATCTTTGTACCCAGTTTATATACTGTACGATTATGTAAATCCATTTTTCTGCAACCATGATGTATTGCCCGCTGAGCAAATTTTTGGGTTTAATGCAAACTAAGCGGAAATTATTACAACGGCTTTGTAAGTATAATTCCTTGCATAATTCCAAAGGGTTGTTTTATATCTCACAATTATGTAGTTTGCCTTGTCAGGAAGGATATTAAACTGTATGAAATATAACTTAGAATTCTTCCTATTTACATTTCGCTTTTCTTCACGTTTATTATTCACCACTGCATTATGCTACTTGGTGCATCCATTATACATTTTAGCTCATTTATTGTTTGACTGGCGTCTGCTTCCAAGCTGATCTTATTGGAGAAACATGCACAATAAATTAATTGACACTGTCGAACTACCAGTCAAATTGGTCTTTTACTAAACAGTTAAATTCCTGAATAAGTCTTCGGCCTTTATCAACAACTACACTTTTATCCGCAAACGTTTCCATTGAAACAATCAATTTTAGTTAATAATTCCCGAGGGAGACAAAAACCAGTGGAAGTGGAAGTGTACACACAAAGCTAGTCTGTTTGAGTTCTTCCAACACACTGATTGCCTTGATGCCGCATTGTTGGGAACCGAAATTAAGAATTTTGTCAACGCGAGTAGCTCGTCAGATTTGCAATCAGTTTTACGTCACACATACAAAAGGGTTCAAAGATATTATTCCTCTGAAGGTGTTATCTTGATTTGCGTAGGAAGTAGAGAAAAAATTGTAAAAAAAATCATTCTTACAAGAATCTATGTCAGAAATTTGGAGCGATTTATTTAGTCGCGCTTTTATGTACTTTCGTTATCGATCGTTATGTAAAAGCCGATTGATTTAATCAGAAATCAGCAATAGTTGCAGGTGAAATCAAAATGCACATTTACAATAATTAATCTTTTTCTGA